CCTTTGGTTCAGGGGTTTGCTTTGCAACCAGGGCTTTGGCCAAATCTGGCCAAACATACTTAGCTAAGCAATGCAACTGGCTCAATTTGAGACCATTGGCGCTTGCCAAGCAGAGACCATGACCTTTAGACAGCTCGGCAATGTTTGTCTATTCAACTGCCAAGCAGAGAGCATGACCTTCAGACAGAAAAGATATGCTGACTTATTCAATTTGAGATCATTGTGCTTGTCAAGCAGGGACCATGACCTTTAAAGTACCGTGCAAACTATGTAAAAGAAAGAACTGAAACCGATAACCTTTAAGTTCTTTTAGGGACTGAGGCTACCCCAAACCATAAATGAAGGAGCCTTGCATTTGCCACATAATATTGCACAGGGATTGTAAGAACCCCACTCTGGGCACGGACTGAGAACTCACAAAGACCCACGCAAACCAGTCTCTCACCAGTGACGGCTCACGATTTGCACTTTTAGAAGCCACACGGTGCATGTCTAAGTTCTAGTTTCTCCACACCATGGTCCACTATGGCTAAGAACCACCAAAAACGACCACAAAATCTTTCAACACCGGAGTTTCGTCTATGTGTCCCATCCCCCTGAGCTGCAATCTCAAGAACTGCCAGTTTTTTGCAGCGCGATTCCGACTGTTGTCGGTGCACGATTCCAACTGTCACCAAGCTTGCACTCTCCGCTTTCACGTGTTTTAACACTCTTTTGCTGAACTTTCAAGTAACATTGCAAGCTAGTTGCAATCTTTGAGGCCACAGGAGATGAAGCAAAGGATGCTTATGTTTTCTTTGAAACATCGAAAGGGTATCAAACCCTTTCAAAAGATTTCAAGGGCCTCCGCTGTCACCTCATTTGTTACGGATGACACATGATTGCCGATCGCCGATCGCACGGGTCAGGGGCTCTCGCACCAAAGCCTGGCCGAACGCCGATCCCGCATGGTTCAAAAGCTGTGAAGTTTTCAGAAAACTGAAAAGCTGAACAACATGTCAGACAAACTCATTCGATGTCCTCAACATCATCACATTCTGCAGGTTCTTCCTCTTCCCCCTCAGCTGTAGCGTCCTCCAATTCAGGCGCTTCCTCATCCGCCAACTCAGTCGACGGTTTGCTCTTGGCCAAAGCAGCGGCCACCATTGTGTCCTTAGGAGTTCATTGCGTCCGCAGTCACATTCTTTTGGATTCTTTTGTGAGCATTTTGATCCAATGGAATCCATTGTTGGCTAAGACACAATGAGGGCCGATCCAGCTTTAACATCACCCTTTGTGCGAATCAATTCATCTCGAACCGCAACCTTCAATCGAAACTATGCAAAGAGAGCCAACAAAAAGATGCAGCGCATTCAAGTTGCCAACAATTTATGTTCACCATTCACTTTGCACCAAGTAGCTGCGATGTCCTGCAGTGTCTCCGCACTGAGGCCATCCACCGGCTTCAACTTAGATGCAACATGATTCAACAAAAATGTTTCTCATTGATCCTGAAAACCTCTAAGAAGTTCATGTCATTGCTTTGAGTGTCACATCAAAGGGACTCGTAGCTTTTCACTGCCGTTGATCTTGAAACCATACATGCCGTTCTTGTACAAGCCTTTCGAAATCGAGACCTTGGAAGGTTCCTGGCGTGCCTCCGATGCAGCTGCAGGACGTTTCATTTGAGTCTTCTTCACGGATTTGACAGACTCACCACAAGCTTGACAGACTCACCACAAGCTTGGAAGGTTTCTTCTTCACAGGAGATGCTTTCGGCTTCACTGGCAAAGAAGCTTCAGATTTTGGAGTAGCTTTTGCTTTACCCTTAGGTTTAGCTTTTGGAAGCACACCACCCTGCGGCTCTGGCGGTTTGTGTTCCTCATCAGATAATGTATCGACAGCATCCAATGCCATCGCACACAAGCCTAAATAGCCGATCATGAGCTGATCCAAAAAGGCCTATGGGGGAAGACCAAACAAATAATTCATTCAAACACCCTTGCATTGCAGGACTGGTTCTTCAGATTTGCAGTGTGGCATCTCAGAGCTGAGCCTGGGTTCATTTGGACTCGACCGCCAATCCGGGTTGCATTGAAGCACACTACCCATGGCACAGGTTTCTCCCACGCCTTCTCAAAAAGCTATGTGATTCGACATTTGGAGTGGCATAGGTGTTTCATTCAGCAAAGCTTGTCAAGAGTTGAACAGTGAGTTGAACATACTATGAACTATAAATCCTGGAGTGTCAACACCACTAGCCATCCATGCAATCACACCCCAAACCCCAACGGTTTGGAAGCATGTCACTTCAGTTTGACTGCGTATCCATCTTTGATGGTGATCACACCCAACAAATAGAATTTTGGCTTGATGGGCTTCAGCACGGCGGGTACTGATGCATCCACCTTGACCTAGAGGGCAAGTTTGAGGGGTAGACACAAAGATTGCAATTCTCAAATTCATGTTTAAAACATGGCACTGTACATGTATTGGGATGGGTTTACCACAAAAAGCATTCACAACATTGCCTCCCACATCAAATTGCACAGCTGGCATTTCGGCAACTGGGAGTATTTGGCATTGAACGTAGCGCCCAGTTGCACGGACCGCATGCTCATCCGGTCGACATCACTTCCAACCTCCTTGGGCCTGTATGCATTTACACTGCCCATAGGTGAGATGTTGTAGCGATAGGCCAAAGCCCTCCCATCAGGTCCAGCCTGCCAATTTAGGAACATCAACTGTCATGGGTGGAAGGATGGATGGAGAGTGGGACGACAATGAAGGGATGGAGAGGGGATGGATGGATATGATGATAGCATGGAGGGACAAATGGATAGACCCACAGGTCGATAGACATTAATGAGGTGGATGGATGGTTGGATGATGGGTGGATGGGTTGGATGAAGTTGCGTGGGTGGATATGGAAAGCTCATAAAAAGAAAGTAAAGGGACAAGTTTAAGCAGATGGACAAACGCAGCTTTCAATAGGCACTGTTTTGACACATGCGTTCAAAGTAAATACTGGCCTTAGGCTGCACACTGTGGTCAATAATTCTGATCTCGGTTGCGCCCTGATGCTTGGCAACGTCACACATGATCTCGGCAAGAGATTTGATCTCTTTGGTATCCGCCATGGCCACCAAGGAGTTGTCTTGGTTCATGACCCAGCCAAGGTGCGCATCCGAGGGATCAGCACTGCCTGGAAATATTGAAGATAAAAGGAATATAGGATATTATAGGTGTTTTTATGTTTCTTTTTCTGACCATGTTTAAGCCTTCGTGGTACATCAGCAAAAGTCCCTGGCCTAGCGGTACTTCTTGGAATTGGCCAACATTTAAGCCAAAGAGCTCACCTGGTGGAACCTCAACGACAGAGCCATTCCCACTTTTATTGATAAGCCACAAGTGGTTGCCACTGGTGATGCAAATCTTCACCCCTGATACTCGAGGGAGGTCTGCCATGCACTCCACCCTTAGCACATAGCGACCCCAGTTGAACTAGATCCCACTAGGAAGCCACTGCAAAAAGGATGAAACCTTCAACATCCTTCAACCAACCTTCACCAAACACAAACATAATACCAATACCATCAAAGCTGCGTGTTTCCAGACTCAAAGTCACTCATGGAAACCTCATCCAAGTTGAGCGGCTTGCGGAAATTCAGCGGTGCATCGCCTGTCCACTCAGGCGACGCGAGCGTCCTGGTCATGGTGGTGGTGGCGGCTGCAACTGGCTTTCCAGGACTGCTTCGATTGCTGGCTGCATGGTAGGACCTCAGAGCTGCAGCCATGTCAGCATCCGCAGAGATCTTCTCTAAGAACTCTTTCAAACCAGCTTGTTGCGAGTACTTCTGCTGCAGCAATTCTGGAAGCCTTGGGGCCAATCAGAAACATGTAGTTTTCGATGTTTCTTTATGACCAGAATTGTGTGTTCCATTTTGCTCATACATGAGACTGCAAGCAAAAAACTTGATTTCACCTTCATTGACAACCAAGCTCTGCAAAGTTGGAAAAGCCTCGGAAAAGCCACTGGCTTCTCTGGTCTTGGGACCTGCTTTGTCACATCCATCCCAATAGTCGGCGATGAGCCGACCCATCAGCACTTCATTGGCAGCACTTAGCTCATCAGCATTGTCGGAGTGATACACCCCCAAGAAGCGCAGATCCAATTCCCGATTCGTTTCCATCAGGAAAGCTGATTGCAAGTCCCACGTCGCCAAGGACCACTCACTGAACCTGAGCCGGTGAAAGGGTCCAGGATGGATATAAAATTTTGTTTTTCATCAAGACTGGAACATGTGCGAAATCAAGCTCACATTGAACCCTAGCGTGAACATTAGAACTCAGCCTGTTGGGCAAGAGGTCACACACCAGCACCGGCTGCTGTGCATTGCTCGAAACACCTTCAAGCAAGTGCTTGATGATGCCAGAAGTTGCACTGATGCCTCTCTGTTGGACCTCAAAGCCATGTCAGCCAATCCTGATCCAACATCTATATCCAAAATATGACCTGAAGTTCCGAAGTATAAACACGCCAATGATTTGAATCAAGGAACACGCCAATGTGGCGCTAGCGATCTCTCGGGATCCGGATTCTGGAGTTCTCCAACTCTGCTTCGTTCGATGTCGCAAATGCTTCCCAGGAGAGCTTTGGACTTCGTGAAGGCCGAGTTCGACGAGGCACAAATGGCAGCCATACCTGGGCAGCGACAGGGCTAGGTGGATGATGCTTTTTGGAGTTGTTGAATACCACTGCAATACAAACTTTCAAAAAACACACAAACACTGACATGACAACCCATGTGCATGAAAGGTGCATTGTTGCGAAGTCTTTCTTTTGTCCCCCCCATGCTGGGCATCAGCGTAGTTGATCGCGAGCTCGAAAACATCCATGCACCTGGAAGACAATGGCATGAAACTAGTTTGACATGTAGGTGCGATCTAGAACGGGAAAGGTAATTGGTTTCATGTTTTTTTTGCAAACAGGGCACGCCCCCACTTTGTCCTCCAAAAGTCTTCGGTTCTTCAGCACTGAGTCTCGCTTCGTGCTAGAGTGACATTGGGGCATGCAAAAGAAGGCAACTGAGCTGGTGTTTCCAGAGCTCACCGACGCACAGAGTTGAATGGCCTCGTCAATTGATATCTGACCTGAGAGGCACAAGTCAGGCGCACTTAACCTTTTTGGGAATCCATAGACTTGCAAAGAGTAATGCAAGGGGCGTGTGGGCCACAGCGTTGCATCGACCACAAGGATTGTGAGCCTAAGCCATAACATATTGTTTTCCTGTTCTATCTATGTCTTCATGATTACGCAAGCAATGTAGTTTCGATCAAGAAGCCCGTCGGGTCCCATCTCCGCTTGGGCTGATACGATGGTGCTGTGCGCTAACACCAGCGAATTGACATGAATCAGTTGATGCTTCCGTTCCAGAAAGTCACTGCACCACTCCTTACCTTTTTGAAAACGGTCATTGATGTGCTTGAAGTCCAGCGCTCCCTGGATCAGCTCATGAGAACATGGTTTCGTCTATGGTACAATCATGTATAATCACTGTTTTACTTTGCTGACAGACTTCAATTAGCTTTGTTTTTTAGAAGGCCTGCTGTTCAGCGTATGTTTGGAACTTCTTGGTCCACAGCTTGATCTTCTCTAGATCATCTTCCATTTGAAGCACTGTTTGATGCCATGTAGTTACCAATAGCTGAGCACTCAGCCTCAAAGTTCAACGTCGCAACACATTACAACATAGACTTGGTGTGTTTTGTGCAGATCAGACACAGGCCATGATCTCATTTTCATGCCATGACTAAATGACATCAGGCCCTGGCCTGAGCATAGTACTTCTGAATATGCGAAGAAAAGATGGAGACTCTTTGCAAATCTGCTGGTAGCAACTGTGTAAGATCTGCATCTCCATGACGCAACTCGAACCTCACAGCACCGTTGCCCATAAACAACTTTGTCAGTTTGAATGGTTGTGAATAAAGACTACTGCGGTACGATGTAAGATAGAGATGGCTAAGTTTATCGCGTTTTGTGGATGTCGGGAAGGCAACGGTCTGCAAAGGCTGCAGGGATCATGGTTTGGAACTGCTCCAGGCAAGCTAGGAACCCCCCGCAGATTCGCTGTAAGCTTTCCTCAATTGTTGGAGATCAGATCTGGAATCGTTGTTACCCATGTTGACACAGTGTTTGACACGGGAAGCAGTTGATAAACCCACAAATGAGCTGCCTAGAGTCCACATCTTTCAAGTTCCAAGGCCGGCGGTTCTTGGGTGCAATTGCCAGCCAGTCCTTCTCCAAGCGCACGACCTAGATTCGCAACAATGCAGGTGAGTTTGTCAGCTGCTGTTTCCACGGTGCTAGAATTCCAGTCGCCGAACAAAATCCACCATTCAGCAAGTTGGCACTCAGGGTCTCATGATTCAGGAATCGCGGTTGCGTGTATTTCCTCGAATAGACTTTCACTGAATGATTTTAGCACTTCTATGAACTTTTGCTATGAACATTTGTTTGACTATCTCTGAGTTGCTATTAAGTGAACTACATTCTTCAGAAAAAGCAACGACAAGACTCTGCACCAATAGCGTCAACACCTGCTTGATTTCAGAAGGAATCCTCTGAAGCAGGTTCACAGCTGCGCCACATTCCTGTTTTCCAAGGCTGTACGCGTGGGCGAAGTTTGCAATTCCCTCAGTGGCCTCCCAGGAATGGTCGAAAGACTTCAACTAGTCATGACATGTTGTAGTTTGATGTAGTTTGATGCCATGAACAATCATTGTCAGTCTATTGTCCACCTCGAGACTTCCAAGAACTTGTTCTCGCGACATGCCACCGCGAATCATCATTTCCAGCTGGTGGACCAGATTAAACGCATTAGGCTTCCTCCTCACAGAGGAGCCCAACGTGACTCCTCACAACTACCAGGAATTTCAAATTACTTCCTCCTCACTAGTAACTACTAGTAACTAGTAACTAGTAACTAGTAAAATAGTTGTCGCTCAAGCCCGGCCTCTGTTTGTGCTGACAGCGGTGCTGAGCTCTGAGTTCACAGCAGTGCCATAGATCGTGCTGAAGCTCCTGCGCAGAACATGAATAGAATAATTAACAAGGGAACGGAAGAGTAAACATGAGTACACGTTGTTGAGCACACCCAATTGGGATGCAAGCAAGGCGCTCGCGGACATGGTCTGGCATGGCCTGCATGCTCATGCGAAGCAAACATGTTCTTTTGCAAGGTGTTGCAAAGCAAAAGTCCACAGAACCTGGCCTGCAGCAGATGAGGATTCTGGTAAGCTGCATAGCAGACCGTCAAACAGCATACGCTTCTATTCCAGCCCTTCACCATAAAGGCGTTCCCTGGGCTCAGCAACTTGACATCTTCGATGCCAAGATCTTCATGGGCTCGAATCTGCGTCAAGGGCTGGCTAAGCCAGCTGTTCTGCGTCAACGCACAGCACACCTTTTCCACTCCTGGTTTGTTTGCGTCTGTCATCATGCCGTTGAGTAGTATTAGTTGACATAGGCTCCGTTGCACATCCTAAGTATTTCACATCCATTTTAAGACTGCAAGCAAAGAGATGCTTTCAAAATATATCAAACCTCAAGCTGTACTTGCTGAGCTGCTATGTCACCCGTTCCACGAAGACCTAAGTCTCCCCTGAAAGGCAGTTGCCACGGTCGGAGTTGCACAGCACCCCCATTTCGGAGGTCAGCCAATCCACAATATGTCCTAAGTCGAAAGCGACGATCTATTCTTTTCTTTCAAAGCTGTGTCAACAGAAACCAAATCTCAGCGACTGACACCCCCGAGGTCGCTGGAAAGCTGTTGTCCAGGAACTTGAAGAAGCCAATGGCGTTGGCCTGAGAAGCAGGTGGTGAAGGATTTCAACATGATTTCACATCACAAAAGATTAAATATGAAAGCCTCATCGGAAAGATGTTGAGACAGGAAGATATCCACGGTCAAGCCCTTCTCCACAATCTCTTCTTTCCTGGGGGGTGTGTGACACAAATATATACGATTCCTTTTTTGGTGGGGTTTGGAGGCTCAGGAAGATGCGTGATTGTATGATGCGGATTCAATATGATCTAACATCTAATTGTGAAAGTATACTACTGGAGCAAATTTATCCAAGGTTCATCCATTCCTCAAACATCACCATGTGAGGTAAGGCCATCGCATCTGGAGAAACTCCTTCTCCAGATTTTGCCTTCTTCGGTCTCTGTGCCTGAGGCTGGCCACCTGATGTCCTCTTCTTGGGCGGCATGCTGGGCACCTGGCAGTTTTGCGACGCGGGAATTGTGTTTTGTGAAGTGAAGCATCTTCACAAACAACGCTTGAAATTTATCTATAGTGTTTGTGAATAAATACGACCCGATTATTCACAAACTTCAGTCTCCCAGGCTGCCGTCTCAAGGCCAATGTAGGCTGAACACAAATTTTGTGAATTGTGACGTGGGAACAGGTGGTTTGTGAAGAAATACGACCCGATTATTCACAAAACAGCTCGGTTGGGGGATGCCTCAAACTGTTTGGAACAATCTCTTCACAAAACCAGCGGGGGTTCTTCACAAAACCAGGGTCCCCAGTCCATCAACCACTGCTTCATCCCAGAGCTGACTCTTTTCCCATCTAGATGCTCATCGCTTCAGAAACAATCTTGATTGCTTCTGCCATCGGAACTCCATGTGACCAAAGCCTGGCGGCGGCAGTGTACAAGGCTTGATGTTTCCGAGCATTCCCGTACCGTAGAAGTTCCCCACGATCTGGCCGCTGGTGCACCATGTTCAAGGGATTTGGGGCCTTAAGCGTCCATTTCTTTCGAGTATAAGTCAAAAAGACACACTGCAAAGAAATTAGGTTCTGACCGCATCCAAATCTCGACCCACAGCTGCCGGCTGCGCGGCCACTCCAGGCCCAACACCAGGCCCAAGATGAGGCAGGGCCCTCAGAGACTGTGGAGTGATGTCCAAACAGAAACTTTGAAATATAGTATATAAATATATATAAATATAGTATATAGTATTGACTTGCAAAAACATAGATTTCACAACTGGGGTTTGCACCAATTGACATCGAGAAAGGGTTCTTGTGTGTGAACACCATTCGCATATTCTTCCAGCGCTTGAGCTGCCGCATGCATGTCGAAAGGATCAGCGCCTGGCAAACTTTTCATACCCGAAAGTTCATGCTGATTCTGTGTCATTTCACTTAGGCCCAAGCTCATCAAAGCTGCATACTTTCTATAGGCCCGGTTCTCTTCAGATTGACGGGCTTGTCCCAGAAGACTGCGCGAGTCAGCGATCAAGCCGGACAACGATGTGTTTCCAATTCGATCTCACAAAACATATATGATGTTTGCCTGGTGGTGAATCACCTTGCATTCCACGGGCTACCAATTCTGGAAGGAACAAGATAGGTGGCCCGTCCCAAGAATCATTGCTCATGAACCGCTTGGTCCTGACAAACATTTATTGTCCAAAGACTGACTGAAGAGTTTCTGTTCACAAAGCACGTAGAAGTCCTGAGGATGACATCCCCTCCGCTCGGTTCATAATGCCTTTTGCGCCAGAAACGGTCGTCGATGTCACATCTTGGGATGCCTGCTGGAGATTTGCGCGAAGTCCAAGACATCAGACGGTTAGTCAGCGCATGTTTGGGAAGGGTTGTGTAATGCTGAAAAACCAAACAAAGTCTTCTCCTGTGTCCTCAAGTCTATCAAGACGAAAAACATGTGGCGCTCCAGGACCACCAATTCCAGTGATGTGCGCTGCTCCAAAACGCTCAGATAGAAACCCTTTCCTGAAACAGAATTCCGCTGAGGCACTGGGATCAGGACAGAGAAGAAGAAACCAAACTGTGACTTGCAGAAACACACCAAAGGCTTAACCTAAGCGAAACTCAGTTTCCAGTCGCGATACTGCGTTAGCAAATATGCTTTGCGATAGTGCTTCTCCAATGGGCGCCTTTCCGTGGAATCCATAAACTTTTGAATGGAATCAACATAGGCCTTGGGAGTCCACATCTCGGGTACTGACTGCAAATACTGTGCTACTTGGCTGAAATAGCCATCGATATCTTCATGGGAATGCCCCGAGCTCAAGAATGACACTTGCGTTGCGCGTACCTTGCGAAGAGCTGTCAACAGATTCAGTTGCTTCAAAATACAGTTGTTCTTGATTTCTTTTGTGCAGTTGTCTGCCTGGACATGCACTGTTACACAGCGCATGTCCAGGCGCCGTGCTACAACGGAAAGTCCATGGGATAGTATCTCGCAAGACCTGGACGAATTGCATGTCACAACATGCGGGGACATCGCTGTTGCCAACAAATGGCCGTGTATGATGAGAGTTGTCGATGCCAGCCGTGGTTTGTTCATTGCGTTGAACTCCTTTGAATATAAGCTCAAGGACTTGGGCCAGGCATGCTTGCCTTGATCCATGCTGTCCAAGATGCAGGACAGGGTGTACACCTGATTGTTCGCGCTTTCCAGCCTTGATTGAGCCCTTATGCTCCAATAGTGCTGTCTGTCGCGGTGCTGACGTGAGAGGTGTTTGAATAAGAGTTGTTCTTGAGCTCGACGCGCAGGTCCTTGGTGACCTAACTTCCTGAGGATTAGCCGATGCTTGACACATTGGCCACACTTGCTGTGATGACTCCGGAAGCGGATCCGGAGTTTGTCACAGAAGTCACGTTGCCATACCTAAGGCTTGCACGAAGCACAACAACACGCCTATTGTGTTTTGAAAAAAACTTTTTGTACAAAACAAAGTTTTGATGCCAAGCACACTTGTGAACAGCTTTTTGCAAATCTTCACGCCAGGAAGGGCAGCGACACACTGCATCCAGTAGTCGTTTATCGACCCGTGCGGGAGATGTTTGATGCCTTCTCTGTTCATGGTAGGAGGGTCAATCTTGTTGACCCCATGTCGTGGGCGTTTGTTGCTGTTCAATCCATCTGGGATGCTCTCAGCGGCCTCATTGTATAGCTTGGTAAGATATCCATGAACACTGAACCAAGCAGGCGATGGTGTTTTTCTGACCAGTTTTGACATACCTTAGGTCAAAGGGCGGGTCCTCTGCATTTTCTGCAAGCGCCCTTCGCATGCGCTCAAAACGACCCTTGCCAATCCCCATAAGCTTGGCGAATCCACGATGGCAAATTGAGTGACCTCCAAACACCAAATGGCGCGATCCCCGGCACGCCTGCTCAGACTGCTGCTTCATCAAGCTGTAGACCTTGAGAGGCTGGTGTTGGGACAGCGGGAATGATACTGGAAGGGAAAGGCCTAAGTCCCTGACATGTTGATCCTTCTCAAGCTTCGTCATTTGAATGAAGCGCTGGCGGAGCGAAACCCATTTATCCCACAAGTGCCAGCCAACCCTCCATGGCCGGAAGCACTGCGATGAACAACCGCACTTTGAGTTGATCAATTGCCTGAGCTTTTGTGGATCGGCTGAAGTGTCAACCTTAGCCACCTTTCTCACGAAGCCTCGACCCGGTCGCTTCGCCCGCCGACCGCTCGGCGTTGGTTTCTTGGATGGTTCTCCAGCCCCATCGTCACTGAGTTCATCAACATTTGCCAACGTAGTTGACATAGCCCCCACCTAGCACAAACATTTCCGTATGGTTACCAACGATTCACGACCCCTTTGACCACCCACCTGTTTCCCAGCACAGGCGGAAGAACTTGAAGCGCAACTCATGCTCAAGCCTTGGATGGTTGTGGGGCATGGGAAGAAACCAAGAGAAGGGTCTACGTAAGTCATGTTCTGAGTGGAAAAAAAGCCAAGTGGCTGAAGGTGAGCAGACCCCAGATTGCGAAACCCAAAACCAAACGGGCCATGGAACCACAAAGAAATGAACTTTAGTCAACATAATTCAGCATTGTTAGTTAAAGTTATGACATGTTTGAAGGCAAGTGTGACCACATATGCACCATGTTTCGCAATGACAAATCAAAACTGTGAAGCCATATCAAAATGCAAATGCGACATGCATGTCATGTGACATGTGAGCCCTGAAGAAGCGGTAACGCACTGAAAACATGGGAGATCATGGGAGAGACATCCAGCTTCAGGTTCGAATGGAAGACATGCCAGAGGGACGGAACACGCAGGCCGCACTCCAAAATTGGAAAACAGCTGCGGGTACGAAAACTTGAAGATGCTCTCGCAGTTTGTGTTGTTGCAGGCTTCAACTAAAAAAGACCAATGTTCGCACCACTCTCCATGTTCTCGCCCCTGTCAGATTCCAAGCTGCGGTAAGCTTATGTCGGTAGACCACAGCCTGCAAGGATTGTTGCACCTAACTTATAGCACTGAATTGCAAGGACTTCCAACACTTCTGATAGCGACCCGTGGGATCAGCCAACTCTTCAATCTAGCATTTCAACTCACAACGATGACGGAAGTTCATTTCATTTCATCCAACACATCTAGCTCATCCCCTAGCACGGTGCTCAGAAGCCAAAAGGTTCAAGGCCAATCGGCACATGTCTGGTATCACACAGTTGCCCACCGCATGGAGGCGTTTCTTTGCCTCATCACTCTGGCTATGATCCAGCCACTTCTTCATGAGAGGCTTGGACTCAGGGTGCCAGGGGGCAGCGGGCCAGGCTTTCAATTTCTCAGCAGGCATGATCTGGACACCCTGACAAGGTGGCGCTAAAGTGATATAATGTTTTACCAGTGGCACAGACGGCGCAGAATTAGACAACCCTGCCTCCCGAAAGAACTGGAAATTTGGCTTGCGGGCTAAAATGAAAATCCTCTCTCGCCATACCTGAGACGAGACATTCTTTAAGTTGATTGGTGTTTGGATTCATGGACGCACCACACAGTAACTAGTACAATGTTGAACAAAGACACATCATGGCCACACATGTGCCCATTTACCACGGCGTAGCTCAACTGCATATTTCGATGGGCAAACTCCTGACAACTTTTGATTAAACTTAAACACTGTTTTCGATGAAGTGGGAAGAAGACAGAAGAACATATTGATAGTAGCACCTGACCTCCTTGAGCAAAGACCACAGATCACTCATGTCAGCTCCCAGCAGGTTTCCGACGTTCTCCATCAGCAAGAACTGCCTGGGCCGCAGGAAGGTTTGTTGGGCGCTGTTGTTCGGGTGTGGGTGACTTCTCTGAGACCAATGATCACTGTGAAGACAAGCTGCGCTGCTGATTCATCACATATTCTAAACAGATGTCGGACTAATGCCGTTCTGGGGTCGCGGAGCCCTTGGCGGTTTCCTGCTTTTGACGATCCCTGCCACCGATGTTGGGCTGTCCGGAAATCAAATGACATTTGATAAATCAAGAAGCCAAACGTTTAAGCAAGACAGAAGTACCTGACACGGGAATCCAGCTGTTATGCCATCAATCATCCCAATCCAGGGGACCCCATTGAACTGCGCGATATCGTCGAAAATTGGGACTGAAGGAAGGTTCCCTTCCAACATTCGGTTCATGAGAACCTCCTGGCAGAATGTGTCCTTCTCTACCTCGAACAGCAAATACTAAATAGATAGAAGGTCTCAAAAGATTTATTGAGGAGCTGGCCACTGCTCGGATTTCGCAAAACCTGGGGCATCCAAACAAAACAAATCCGATGATGGTTTTAACAGTCATTGTGATTCCAACTGGGGAACAGGCTGGGATGCTCCCAACTCCAAACCACCAATCCCCGCAAAGCAACTCAGCACTTGATGCTTTGGGACCTGGTGCATAACGGTCAGTTTGTGACTCTTTCCCACAGCCCAAAGTGTCCACTTACACCA